GTACTTACCTCTGCAGCCTCAGGACCCCCATAAAATTACTTGGGGAACATAACTAAAACTTTATTATTGAGAATTTATACAGAACAAGCAGGTTATATCATTACAAAATGCCTGAAGAATTCTATGTTCTGGAAGAATCAATGTGGCGAATACCCATTAATAATCAATCTAGTCTCATGGGCAGACTTTTATGTATTCACATACCTATCATTAGTGGTTTTAAGAATAACAGCAGTGAGCATTACTTTCAATGGTTGGTAAAATAATTTAGTCACTCTATCTGCTCAAAAACTGATGATAAAAATACAGGAAAATAATTGTAGGACATGTGAAGATTACAGGCAACAAATCCCAAGTCTTTCTGTTGCTCCTCTTCTGTATCCACAGCAGACGTTACTACCTGATGATGACATTACTACCCCTTCCTGCTGAACCTAGACTCACTGCTATAGAATTATTCCCCTTCTCTCTCTCTTTCTCTCTCTCTTTCTCTCTTTCTCTCTTTCTGTCTCTCGCACCAGGGTCTCCATCTGTAATTCATCCTGACCTTGAAGTCACTGTGCAGCCCAGGCTGGCCTTGAACTTGCTGCAATCCTCTTGCTCCCAAATACTGGGGAGTATTACAGGTGTGCACCACCACATTCAGCTCAGAATCATTCTTAATAGCATTAATCAAGGAAGCCATAGCCAGTTTCCTGGGTGAGAGGCCTGTGAATTACAACTCTGTGCTCCTTCCAGCTTAGATGTTTTGTTAGAGATGCTGGCCATCAAAAATACAGAACTCAGCTGGAAGGGACCCGAAGGATGGTTTATGTTTTGAATTTAATGTCATGGAGAAATACCATGGTCAACTATCAACGTCACAGTTGAAAATGTCCTTTCTGACCAAACATCTCTGCATATTCTGCCAGAAATAATATTGGACTAGACAAACAGACACAAACGATCGGATGCAATGATCTCAACCACTGACACATTCACTGTCACGGCCTCAGCCACAACCACGATGGGGTTTGCACGGAATCTCAGAGGTCAGCATCATGTTCCAAGTTCCAGCTCCACCTCTTATCGGGGGTAGGGTAAATTGTTTAAGCTCTTTTAATCCTCACCAAAGAAGTAATAGCTGGTTTGTTAACTGAAGACCCACAGTTTAGATGGTACATATGAAGTGTCTTACACATGGCAGGACCTTCCAGATGTTAGTTCCTTCTCATTTGTTAAATATTCAATGAAGAGGAGAATCCCCTTATTGAATACTTCTACTCTCTGCTTGAACATTTCTAGTGATGTAACATTCTTTGCCTCACAAACCATTCTACTTTCGTGGTGTTTGGATGATCAAGAAGTTGTTTTTCTTTTTCTTTTTTTTTTTTTTTTTTTTTTGGTTTTTCTCTGGTACCGGGAACCGAACTCATGACCTTGCGCTTGCCAGGCAGGCGCTTTAAGAAGTTGTTTTTCTATTGAGCCGAAATCTGCCACACAGAACATAGCTTTGCTCATGAAGACGCATGCATATTTCACAAAGGTCAGTCTGTCCCTCCAAAATCTTTTATTTTCCAAGTTCAAGAATCACCAGTTTCTTAGATGACCTGGATTTGACTTGTGTTGTGATACAAGTTGCTTTTCTTGGATCACTCCCACATCTGGAGTACTGAAGAGATCTCCTTTCTCCATTTTAGTACTAACTGAAGGGATGTCTTCCAGAAATCCTTCTGTGTTTTATCCTATTGCATCAGTCGCCAGGGGAATTCTCCTTCCAGAGATAAAGTACAACAAAGGGATTCTTGTTTTCTTATCTAAATTTACAGAAACTATTTACATTCAACAATCAAGATCAGTAACATAACATCCCCCCACCCTTGGTTTCAGGGTGCGGTTTCAGGGTGGCTCGGGTGTCTTGGACACATCTGTTAAGGAAACTTGTTTTACTTTCTGGGTTCACCCTTTTTCCTTGGGTGTTGGGCTGAGGCTTGTCACTCAAACATTTCTGATTGTGCTGTTGATTAAGCATCTGGCTCTTAAGCTATAATTACCCTCATCCTTCAATTAAAATCACATTTCTGTATTGCAACACGTAGTTATTGCAAAATGTGAATTTGTATTCTCTCCAAACAAGCTTTCCCTGACTACTCATGTTGTTTTTTTTCTTCTGGGTTGTTCAACTGTTCGGGGTTGCCATCGCCCCACTGCTGTGTAGGACCTTCTTCCCGACAGCGATGATCAATGCAAGCTTTATGGTATTGTTGCTTTTGTCTGTCTTTGGCTTATTAGCTGTAGTATAGTGACTGAAAAATTATTCTCAGATTTCAGAATTTTGGGTGACTCATATACTAGAGCCATACTTATATGACAGCATAATTGGTACCAAAATGAAAAATTCAATCAACATAGGCTTTTATCATAAATTGTGCAAACAATAGACTTAACAGTTTTCATTGGATTTTGGCCAATCTTTTCTCCTAAAAGTTGTGTGTGTGTGTGTGTGTGTGTGTGTGTGTGTGTGTGTGTGTGTGTGTTGGGGATTGAACCTGGAGCCTTGTGCATGCTAAGCCCATGCTGTGCTACTGAATCCCACCCCCAACCCATTTTCCTCTGAACTTCTCAATCATGGTTAAACAATGTCAGAAGCTAATATGACATCCTACACATAACTTCTACCAACATACATTTGGTTTAACCACCTTCTGTCAGATTCCATCCTAATTCCTGGGAATTTGTTTTGAGATAGCCAATAATACCTAGCCTTAACTTAGAGGAGGAGTCAGATACAAAAATTCATCTTCTAAAAATCAACGGCAGACTGCTGGAAATTAGTTTGTCTACAGTGGGCATTTTGGTCCTGTCCTTGCCTGTCCTTTCCCACCTCACACAGCACGGGGAGGTTTTGTACAGTTCTCAGGAGTCTGCTCAGCCACATACCTCCCCTCCCTCTTGCAAACTCCAGTAGCACCTTTGCACTTCTCTCTCGGGCAGGTCACTTTATAACTTAAGGTAAGTTCTCTAGCATGTCTGCATCTGCTCACAGTTGCTTCTACAATGCAGATAATACTGGTTGGATTGAGGGAGAAATATGTTGGATGGAACACTTCTACTGATGAAGAGGTAGTAAGTTCTGTTTTGGTATAGATGGCTAAGAATGTTGTTTTCAGGTTTCAGCTTTGCCCTGAAAAATCAGCCTTGCATCAGCTGCTTTAAGAGAACTCGGTTTAGTATCTTTAATTAGTTAATTACCTATATATGCAAAGCACACTGGCATGATGAGTTAGAGAATCCCAAGACCACTTCCGTAAGTGCATGTGTGTGGACACATTCATTTCCTCGTAGATACTACCTAGAAACCATGTTACTCTATTTTGTGAAAATAATGTCTAGTATTACTGAGATGCATGGGGAAAAGTCCTGGGATGAATTTTCTTAAAAAAGTATCATGAATTAAAATGCTGCTTGTTGAAACTGATGATCACTTTCTACTGAATCACCAGCTCTTGGGCAATGTGATTTATATCAATAACTCTTGTGAAATGACCCAACTTCAGATTTGCATATTTCACATGCATTTTATGCCCCCATAGAGAGTGCCAAGTGCCTTGAGTGTTTTATGAAAACACTAATTGAATTCAGTGAATATCTCAATGCAATGTAGACAACCTTTCTTTGGGTGTGTATGACAGCCTAGTGTCTTTCTAAAGATTTAAGTAGAAGTGAAATTCATTTTCATATAAGTCAAATGTATTTTAAATAGAGTAGTGAAAACTGATGGACCCAGTTAAATATATTCAAGCCATCCTCTTGGCACCTAGCATGGGTGGACCCTGCTTGTGTGCTGTGCCTCCAGGAGCTACGGCTTCCTTCCTTCGTTCGCTCTTCCCAAAGATGAGGTGGGAAATTTAGAGCTAATCACTGACTAATTAACTAAAATCTGGTAGATGTTCCAAGAAAATAATAGAAGAAACATTCAACCACCCCTCAATAGTCATGCAACTAATTTTTACTGAGCACATTGAATGTGGCAGCCTCATGCTAGGTCCTGGAGCTACCTCAAGAACGTTGTTCCAACACCGGTCGAGCCACCGCCCTAGCATCAGCACACAATCCATGCCCTTATATTCAGCAAACATTGGCTGTGTTCTATGCAATGGGCTAGATGCACTGTTTAGCGCACTGTGCCGGATGCCAGGGCTACCACAACACAGAGCAAAACAGACGCGGTCCCTTCCCTTGGGGAGCTTGTGGTGGGAAAAGTAAACGTGATTTCAACCAATACAGGAATCACTGTGTAGCTCACACGCTGCTGAGAGCTGTGAAGAGGAATCATAGTGCACGAGGGGCTGGCGTTTCAGCCAAGGCCCCACTGGGGAGTGTGAGTTCACATGGGCAAAATGGGAGAGGGAGAGCGCTGTGGGCTGAGGGGAAACGTTCATATGAAGATGATCTGGAGTACAGCTGCAGGGTATTACAGTTTACCTGACCGCAGTACCCTGGTGCACACGTGTCTCCAACAGCACGCTGTGCACCCAAAATAGGTATATTTTTAAAAAGTGCTGAACAATGCCAGCCGGGTTGGTGGAGGGAGAGGAAGAGGAAGCATGCAGTGTGAGAGAGGCCAGACCTTGCTGGACTTCAGTGCTTCTTCCACGGACAAGTGGCGGCCTTTGAAGGCTTTTAGTCAATTCAGGACAAGATTGGCGGGGTGTGGGGAGGGTGGGCAGGGGTTTGGGCCAGGTGGTGGAACTGATGGTGGTAGGGGAAAGATGGCAGAAATTTAGGGAGCAAGATGCCAGATGGGGCCAGAATATGCCGAGAACATCGGTTGAATGAATGAACACATAAGTCTACAGTTTCAGGAGAGGTAGAGTTTGACCCAGTTAAAAAGCTACCATTGAATTATTTCTTAGATTGATACTGATACAAGAACAATTTCCCCTGGATTGTTTAGCTCAGGTTCACTTGCACTAAAAGATAAGAATCTATTCAAATAATGCTTTCTTGTTTGGTGTGGTTTTTTTTTTTTTTTTAATTCTTTTTTTACCCCCCTTAAGCAAACCAAACACAAATTAAAGGTCTCATAAAGACCCCAAACAGACTGGTGGATGGGAGATCAATTGTCATGATGCTGTTAGACACACAGGCGCCGGATAGTTTGGAGTCCCAGGGCCACCTTGACTGGAAAGGAACTGTCTTGGGCCACATGTGAAATATATACTGTAGCTTGTGTATCCAAGAAACAAAACTTCTTTTCAAAATATTTTTTGTGATCACATTTTTAAAAAGGTTTTCAATTCCACCAACTGGGCAGCCAGCGCAGGAAGCAGAGTTAGTGGAGTTTCTCTGTCCCCCACTCAATCCATGTTTGAGCGAAGAATCCTGAAAAATATTGCTAAAAGTCGTGGGAGAACGTTAACAGTTTCCCATCTTGGGGGGCTGAGCTGCCAGCTGTCTGAGGCTGCACGGAGCCTGCAGGCCAAGGGGTGGACATATCTGGAGATATATGTATTCTGCAAGTGTTATGGGATACGTTTTTGGCAAAGCAGTTTCACACGGTTAGTTTTTCCAGGACAATACTTTGGAAAATGCAGCCGAAAAACCTCCCTCTGCATAACTTGGCAAATAATTGTGTAATCTGCTGCTGGAGTTTTGTCTCTTGGGAAATCCAATCTTACATATATTGTCTTTTTGCTCCTCAGAAGTCATCTCCCCGTCGTGCAACTGTTGCCGGGTAACCTGGAGGGGACAGATGGTGGTGATAACCATGACTCAGACCTTCTCAGCCCCTCCTCCCGGCTCATCCCTACCTTTCCCTTGAGCGAATCTCGTCTTCCCACTGGCCCACGATCAAGTCTCCCAGCCCTGTCAGCTCTGCAAGCTGCAAAAACAAAAAACCACAAATACACCTTCCAGAGTCGCATACGGGAAAGAGAGCCGCCCCTGGAGACGGCAGAGGGAGAAAGCGAGTCAAATTCTCCTCATTTCGCATGGCCCAGGAGGGCTTTTCTTACACCAGGCTCTGGACGATGGGGCAGGGAGAGGACCCTTCACTGATGTTTGTGCACTGGTGAATTCTGATTGGTGTGGATCTATTTCTAGGTTTGGTTTCAGGGTTATCTTCTGACTGGATACTGATTGTGTACATTTGTTGTTTTTTTTTTAAAGCAAGTGAGGCATGGTGGTACAGGTCTGTAATCCCAGCATTCTGGGAGGCTGAGGCAGGGGAGTCTAAAGTTAGATAGGGACCACCCCAAGCCATTTAATGTTTTAGCAAGACCCTGTCTTAAAATGAAAAAGGGCTGAGGATATAGCTCAGAAGGCCTTGGGTTCAAGCCCAAGGATCACAAAACAAAACAAAGCAGATAATAAAAATGTATCTTATTATCAGCCATTGCAGTCACTTATTTGATAAACAGAGAAGTTTAATATTAAAGTTACTCCGGGGCTGGGGATTTAGCTCAGCGGCAAAAGCGCCTGCCTGGCATGCGCAAGGTCGTGAGTTCGGTTCCCGGTACCGGAGAAAACCAAAACCAAAAAAAAAAAAAAAAAATTAAAGTTACTCTGTGATCCTGAGTCAGCACACAGGTTGTATAGACAGGTGTCACTGAGACATCATAAATAACTTGCAGATATGTTTATATAATACAAAATATAATCAAATATTTAAGAGTATTTCACTTTAAAAATGTGCCCTGAAAGTATCTGTGTAATAATATGAGTTGCTCCTTATAAAACTAATAAAAATGAATAAGGAGGAGCTGGGGATATAGCTCAGTGGCACAAGCGCCTGCCTGGCAAGTATAAGGTCCTGAGTTCGATTGCCGGTACCAAATAAAAATAAAAAAAAAATAAAAAATGAATATGGAATTTTATATGTCCTCCTCCTCCTCCTAACTCTGTTAAATAATCGACATATATTATGTGTGGCAATGACACTTGCCAATTAAAAGTAAAGACAGTGGTCCCAGCCCTCTGGGAGGCTGAGACAGGAGGATCGCAAGTTGGAGCCCAGCCTAGGTAACTTAGCTACTTTGTGAGACCCTGTCTCAAAATACAGTATGGAAAAGGGCTGAGGGAAGTGAGAAGGCCCAGTGTCTGATCACCAGTACCACAAAAAAGGTGATAATTTATCTTACTCCATTTGCACCAATGCAATAAAGAAAAAATGTGTGAAAGTTTATCATGTATTTGCTTTTACTTATTTATGCATTTATTTATTTTGCAGTACTGTGGGTTGAACCTGGGACCTTCTCACTGAGCTACAATTCTAGCCCTTTAAAATTCTTTAAAAATTTTGAGACAGGGTCTTGCTAAGTAGCTAGATCATCCAGGTTGGACTTGAATTTGCAATCCCCCTGCCTCAGCCTCCCGGAGTGCCAGGATTACAGGCGTGCACCACCACACTTGGCTGCGTGCTTGCCTTTGGTTCATTAAAACTGAGTCTATCGAAAAAATCATTTTCGATAGACTACATGAAGACCTAGGTGTGGTTGGTGCTCAGCAACCGTGCTGAACAAATGAATATAGAAGTAAATGAATTTACGATACCTTTGTGTGTATAGCCGTACAAGCTAGAAGCTTCGGCTGGTTAAAATTATGTTAGTAGTTTTGCTCATGAGAATCAAATTGTGTGGCTTTAAGTGGTTTTTCAAAATCCCGTGGTGGGCTGGAGATTTAGCTCAGCGGCAAAAGCGCCTGCCTGGCAAGCGCAAGGTCCTGGGTTCGGTTCCCGGTACTGGAGAAAAACCAAAAAAACAAAACAAAACAAAAAAAAAAACCACTGGGCTGGGGATTTAGCTCAGCGGCAAAAGCGCCTGCCTGGCAAGCGCAAGGTCGTGGGTTCAGTTCCCGGTACCGGAGAAAAACCAAAAAAAACAAAAAAAAAACAAAAAAAAACAAAATCCCGTGGTATTTGAAAGTCAAGATGTCGAGGTGGATACACTTTCCTCAGCAGCAAGTTCGTGTCCCTGTGGCTTTGGGAGCTGGGTTCCGCGTCCACCTCCGAGAGGGTCGTTCTGGCCAGATGCCTGCGTCCGCGGGTAGGGTGTTTCCCGCGCCTCCCACGTGCTGCCGATGCGATTGTAGGTGACGTCACTGCCATTGTTGTGCAAGAGCTGAGTCAGGGGGCTGAGCAGCTTATTCTGAGCCGATTGTGACTCAGTCAGCAAAGCCCAGGTCCCGGTCCTGTCGCTGCCGGACCCTGCTGCTCCCTGCCGATTCTTTCATTGGCAAGGACTGCTTACAGGTCTGCTTCTAAACTGTACTTCTGTTTTTTTGTTTTTTTTTTTTTTAAGTGTTATTAAACTGTATTTGAAAAGTTCTTCTACTTAATATATACAATGTACAAAAGAAGTTAAAAGGAGGAAGCAGAGGAAGGTTTTCTGGTGTATATGATGCAAACACTCCCCTTTCCCTCATCAGTAGTTCCGTGTATGTCCATCTTACCCAAGAGAAAACACGAAAGGCCAATCAAAAATTTCACTTATAGGGCTGGGGATTTAGCTCAGTGGCATAAGCGCCTGTTTGGCAAGTGCGAGGTCGTGAGTTCGATCCCCGGTACCGCAAAAAAAAAAAAAAAACCACTTATAAATAGAAAAAGCATTCAAACAATGGAATTGCAACTTTCCCCCTCACACTGCAACTCACTCTACTTTGACTATAATAAACATAAATAATGGCATTTCAAAAATCTGTTTTTACATCTTTACCTTAAAGTTTAACAGAAATTCCTCTAACAATTGAGAAGAAAACACTCCTTTGTAACAATGCCACAAAATAGTTTTCAATGCATAACATAAAACATGCCCTTAACATAAAAGACGCCCTCCTGATGGAGGGCATGGGCATTACACTTGGCCCCTCTGAGGTATAAATGCAGCTATATTTGTGCTGAGTAGATAGTCTATAAGGTATGCAAAGGTCTGCATGTTTGTATAAAAGTGGGGGCAATAGCATCCTGAAAACTTACTTTTTAAATTTTTTATAATAATGAGGATTAACTAGGAAAAAATACTTTAGCCCAGTAACATAGCCAGAGGGATTCTGAACTCTTAACCAATGCAAATGGTTATCACATTTAAAAAATACTTAACATTGCATTTGATTAAAAAAAAAAGCTGAACAAGAAAAACATACAAATATTTAAATACAGCAGGACACCACAAAAAGCATACTATAGATAAACGTGAAATCAGTCAAGCTTTTCCAAGACAGAAAATCCTTTTAATCCACCAGCAAGTCCCTATGAAAAGAGTATGCGTACAATAAAAGTGACAAGGGAGCACCCAGGACACCCCCAAGAGGCTTGCTACACCGTGTACCGTTACTGCGCCGTCTCTGGTACGCACGGTGGCCAACAGGTGACAGGAAGTCCATCTGACAATGGTTGAGTAACTTCCTTTCACCGCTGCTACTGGCTGAAATCATCACTGCTTTCGAAGACCAGGAAAAAGCCGAGTATAGCTGTGAAGATGACCGTGTTTCCTGTGAGAACAAGTGCACTAGTGCCCCCCTCAATCAGACGTGCTCTGGCAAATACAAAAGGGAGTCCAAGAGCGGAGACACGATGCCTGTTGTGAGAAATAGCACCAGTTCCTTGCACGCATTACTCATAGCCTCTGTGTCACCCACTAACCTTCTTGCTCTGCAGTATGGAACAGGGAAAAAACAGGACAAAGAGGGGCCAGTGTGGGTCGTATATCGGAAGGGCACATCCAAGCATCAAAAACATTAGCCACTCGCTCCTCCAAGGGACAAACTCATCAAAGCTTTGAAGCCGGCCATGGCGGTGATGTTGCTTCTGGCTCCACGGCCCGAGGCGGTGGCAGTGGGCAGCGGCGGCCACCAGACAACACCCGGAAGGGCTGAAACTGTACATCTGTTTCCATAATTTTGAAGAAAGTCGTCACTAAGAATACTACGTGCATAGCGAAGCATTAACAGTGACGTCTCTTAGCAACGAACGCTCACCATCCCTTGGATTTTTAAGGAAGACCAAGGTGTGGAAATTGCGTCTGTCAGGACTCACACTCGTGTTTCCGCATATATAACATTGGGATGTTCTGAATTTTGCAAACACACCCCTGCATGTGTGTAAAGCCTTGCATTGATTCACGGTCTGAGAACAAAGGTACATACTAATTTAAGGAAGCAAAATCCCTAGCGGTAGGAGTGACAGTCCCAGGACTGCCAGGGTTTTCGGCAGCCCACTCCTTGTGTCATGGGGTGTTTGCTGTTGACTCCTCCACCCCTGCAGCTGCGTCTTACAGACCCGAAGGGCTTCGTGGTTTACAAAGCTTTTTCCCCAAAACTGGCTCCTGGGTTCTCGCGACAACTTGTGACGTGAGGAGGTAAGTGTGATCCTTCCCCACCAAGGCGAAGCAGTTAACTAGGCAGAAATATTCCAGATGGAAAGATTGCGCACCTATTTTTGAAAGTGGGTACTGCTCAGGAGCGTGTGGAAAGGAAGGGAAGCCAACGTCTGGGCGGGCTATGCCGATGTGTTAATTTTTAAAGTTTTAGACAAAAGTGAAAGTTGGGTTACACTCAAGTTTCTGTACTAATAACAGCTAACATTTAATGGTGACGGTGTGCCACGTATGAATCAGCTCACCAGCTCCTTGTCCGGGCTAAAGGGCAGAGCACCAGAGCTGAATGACTTTCCCCGAAGAGAGCAGAGCTGGATCTGAACTCGGGCGGCCCTCCTCCGGCCTGTCCTCCCTCCTGGCTGGCTTCAGGCTGGCCCGGTTGAATAGCCGGCTGGGAAAATCTCTGCTCGCTCACCAGTCTTTGCCAGGGCTGGCTGTCCCTCCCCGCCCCGCGGCCTCCAGCGGTGTTGTCACGGAGACGGGGTAATCCATCACCCTCACACTAAGGGGCGCCTCACAGTCAGTGAGAGGTACCCAGGATGACGCACGCGAGGGATTGCAGCAGATGGACACACCCAGGTCACCGTCCCCACCACCACGACGTAGGACACTTCCCCTAATCCTGACTGTCCTGTGACCCTCCCGAGAACCAGCCAAACCCTCTCTCCACCCCTTCAGCCCAGAGGACCGCTGGCCTGCTTTCTGTCACTCGCAGTCGTGCAGATGGAACTGTGCCCTGCCAATCTTTTGGGTCTGGCTTCTTTAGCGCAGTGTAATGCTTTTGAAATTTGCCCTGTGTTTCAAAACATTATTTTATCATTATTGTTTTTTAAAGAGACAGATCTCAGTCATCCAGGCTGGCTTCAAACTCCTGGGCCCAAGTGTTCCTTCTGTCTCAACCTCCTGAGCATCTGGGGGTGTAGGAGCGTAGGATCAAGTCTGGCCGCCCATGGTGCTTGTATAGCAGCAGCTCCTGCCCTCCTCCCTTGTCGGTGGGTTGTATTTGAGCGTGTGGATTTGCCATCATTCGTTTATTCTTCTGGTGGTTATTTTTCAACCAGAATTCTGGTCACAATGTCCTCTTTGATCAATACCCCCTGGATGTCACAGCTGTAGCCTTCCTAACAAGCTATAGTGGTAACAAGGAATAATGAACACTAACTTTTGTAGTTTGACTTTGAATTTATGATGCAAATGTTGAGCGATGACATTTAATCTTAGATTTGGTTGCTTTTTGGTTGTTAGTTTGTTTTTATTTTTATTTTTTTGAGATAGGGTCTCGCTCATGGCTCAGGCTGGCTTTGAACTTGCAGAGATCCTTCTGCCTCAGCCTCCTGAGTGCTGGGATTATATACATGCACCCAGCATAAAAGCTTCTTTAATCTTGCAATCAAGGGCTAGGCACGATACCGCACACCTGTAATCCCAGCACTTGGGAGGCTGGGGCAGGAGGATCTCTGCAAGTTTGAGGCCATCCTGGACTACATAGTGAAACCCTGTCTCAAAAAAGCATTTGTTATTCCAGAAAAAGTGATTCATTCCACCATATGAGTATACTTTTCATTTTCATTTGATATTTGAGTACGTTTTAGAGCCCGAAGGTTTTAGATTGGCTGTTTAGTTGTCTAAACTCTAAATACTTGCTAATTTATTCATTTTATACCTGGTAGAACTTTCTGTAGGGGAACTGTTAGCTAGACGAGACAGTTTTACCGTATTAAGTTGATGATTTAAAAAAAAATGTCTGTGTTTGCCGTTCTAAGTCACGTTCTAGTATCGAGCTCATCTGCAGTGGCTTGAACACTGAATTCTTTTTCAGGGCCGCCAGCAGGTGGCGCTCGTGTACCACCTAAAAGTGGTGATTTGGCGCTCCAGAGGTTTTTCTAGGGGGTTCCCTTCCTGCGGAGACAAATCCATTTGGGTAATTAAGACCCATTACCTTTGGTTATCAGAGTCATACCTGTTGTTTGTTAAACATTTTTAGAAAATGTACAAAATGTTCTAGGCGTGGTGTCACACTCCTTCAATAACTTCAGCTATTGGGGAGGCTGAAGCAGGAGGATTGCACGTTGCAGGCTGGTTTGGGCAGTTTAACAAGATTCTACCTCAAAAATAAAATAAAAATAAATGAAAATGTCTAGGATGTAGCTCAGTGCTCCCTGGATTCCATCCTCATTATGGTAAACACAGTAAAACAAAATACAACAAAATGCTGGATGTGGTGGCGCACCCCTGTAATCCCAGCACTTGGGAGGCTGAGGCAGGAGGATTGGTGAGAGTTCGAGACCAGCCTGGGTTACAAAGTGAGCTCAAGGCCAGCTTGAACTGCATAGCGAGACCCTGTCTCAAAAAGATGAAAAAAAAAAAATACAACAAAATGTAGAAGAGAAAAATAAAACCTCCTCCAAACCCCTGGCAAGTCCCCATGACACTGTGATGACAATTCAGGAAATAATGTATTTTCTTTTTTTTTTTTTTTTCTTTTTGGTTTTTCTCCAGTACCGGGAACTGAACTCATGACCTTGTGCTTGCCAGGCAGGTGCTTTGCCGCTGAGCTAAATCCCCAGCCCTGAGATAATGTATTTTCTAAACCTTTCTTTAGCTTATGCATCCAACAAATGCATAGCAAAGTAAAATTTTAAGTTAGTAAACTTTCAGGTTTTTAAAATGACTGTCAGCACTGTGCTTGCCCCTGCCATCTGGTCCTTTACTTAGTTTTTTTTTCATTCTTTCTTGGGAGTCATTTTCCTTCACTTCTGCAGTTCGCTCCTTGCTGGGTCCTACGGGCCTTTGGTGCTTGCGCTGAATCCACTGAGTGGCTCTGCGTGGCTGTAGTGAGACAACACTTTCTGCGGGCTGGGGCGCGGGCTTCCCCCACACCACGAGCCTCCAGAACTGTGCGGAGTGCGCTGCTGTGATTTACAGCCTCCGGTCTGAGGCGTCTGTGACAGGGCCCAAAGAGACCAAGCCAGACAGGAAGACGGGTGCTGGGCTCACTGCGCTTCCTGGCGGGGGGAAGAGAGCAACGTGGGTTTAGCAGGCAGGAATCGAATGCTTCCTTTGCCAGGTGAAGACTATCCCGACCAAGCTCTTGTTAGGAGGACACTGCTCTGTGGGCCTTGCCTCTGTGCTGTGAGATCCTAGGCACGGGCGCTCCAAGGAGAATTTTGCGAGCTCATTGTTTTGTTTTTCCTTTTTAAATAAACTTTTCCTGCATAGCGGACCCTGGGGCCAAAGCACAGGTGAAATGCTGTCCTACCTGCCCTGGGAAGCCCCTCCTCGTCCTGTCCTCGTCACCTGCTGGGGCCATGGCGGCTACGAGGCGGCTACCAAGGCAGTGTGCCGGTCGCCAACGTGCCGATCGCATCCACAGCCCCGGGTGAGATGCGGTTGCCTGGGTGGCGCATGCAGAGAGAGGACGGAAGGTGCAGTCAGCACGCAGGGTCAGGGAGAAAAGTCTGAGAAACTTCCGGTGACAGTGGTGCCCTGGGGAGCCCTGCGCGGGGGCCGCTGCTTCAACAGCAGGGCAGGGGGCCGCTGAGGTGGCGGAGAGCGGATCCCTGGGTACCGGATTTGCGCGAGCCCCCGGCCTCGGAGCCGGCACCGTTAGACACAGTGATGACCAACTCCCGCGCACTCTTCAGAGCAGGGCCTATCTGCGGGTGCTTCTGAGACCAGGGAAGTGGCGCCTTCGGTGTCTGCGTCAGGAAGTGACTCTGACAGTTTCCCTGGGTGTGTAAGGTAAACTCTCCTCGGGAGATGTGCCAGCCGGGCAGAGAGGCGGGGAGGAGTGTGGAGGACCATCTGGAGGACTCTCCTTGAAAGAAGAGCAGCTACCTCCATTGCGGCTGAGCCTGGCCCTGTTTCCCCATGCTGACGTGTGCCGAGCTGGCTGGGACTTCTCCTTACCCCTTCAACTGGCTTTGAGCAATGCACACGGGTCCAGCGGGGGTGCTGATGACAGTCTTTGAAGCAAGGTGACAGGGCCGTGTTTCCCTGCCCTGCATAGCTCCCAAATAAACATGTGAGAGCCGGGCGGGGTGGAGAGCCAGGCTCCCGCTGTCAGCTGGGATGAGCCTCGAGGTAAGAGGCCATGACTTCCCAGGGCGTGAAGGATCACACATCCGAGCTGAAGCACCAACCCCGAAACACTAGCTACGACCTCAGCTGTGTCATGCAGATTGCTCTTCCTGCACATCCTTCTCTCTGCATGTGCAGGGGTGATTTCCCGCCTCCTACCTAGCCCAGCTCGGGACACTCACCTACTTCCCGCCATTCTCACAGTCACTCATCCTCAAAGCACTCCCTTCTTCATGAATGGATAAAAACTGGGTTCGGCCCTGGGCTGAGGCCTTTGCTCCAGTTATCCATCATCCTAGCTGGACGTAGGACCCCTTGGCTCCCCACAATTACAAATGTGCCTTAGGGTCTTTGTTCTCGCCGTGGGCTGGAAATGAAACCCATGGAATCAACTGGCTAGAATTCCAGTAACTTTTCCGCAGGATTACAAATGCGAACTTCCCGGACGGAGGAAGAGCTCTCCGTAGAGAAGTGACAGTGTGGGGTGAGTGGAGGGCCGGGAACTGTCACAAATCGGAACAGGGGGATGGCTTCAAAGCTGCATGCCTACGCAGTCGGCGTCAACGAGCACAGAAGCACTCAGCTCTGGAAGCCTCTGGGGCAGCTCCTCCTCCGTCCCTCCCTGGGACACTCTTTGCTGTCATCCCAGGGGTCTTCCATCGCCTTCTGGTTCCACGCAGTAAACAATCATGGACCAGCGCGTTCCAGGCTCCTCACTGTCTGTGCGTGTGATCTCATTTAACCCCCAGCAACCCCGCCCCGAGGAGCAGGTTAGAAGATCAAGAAACAGGGCGCCCAGAGCCAAGCTACTTGTTGTTAAGCAGCAGAGCCAGGGTTTGAACTCGGAGTTTGCCAGAACCCAGGCTCTCAACCGCTCAGCCCTGTTGTGGGCTTCCCTTAGGGGTCTGGAATTGGAAGCTGAACCACCGTCTTCACCCGGCAAAGGCTGAGACTTTGGCAGACTCCGACTTCTATTCCTGGCTGCCGGAAACTCCACTAGAAGCCCCAGGGGAAGGGCCAGGAAATCGGCCCCGTCCTGTGCGTCCCATTTCCTCCTCCTCTTCCCGCCCGGCTGGCCTGCAGCCGCAGCACGCACTGCCCCTCACAAACCTGTCTCTTTCCTCCTCCGCAGTGGGCCCTTTGAACGTCTGCACTGTCTCTCGCACTGCCCACTTCCTGGCGGGGTCTCCCTCTGCCCTCAGCTGTGAGCCCCTCAAGGTGAAGACGGCTCATCCGTCACTGCACATTCTGTCTCCCGTCTGGCGAGCCACAGCGGCTTGGTCAGTGTTTCTCTCCTTCCTGAAAGATCCAAGCCTGACGTCTTTATTCCAGTGCTTATCTAGTTTATGACTGAATATTATAAAAATCTTTCTCCATGCGCTGGACATTATTGTTGGAACCAGGAATGCTCACACTTTGTATTGTTACTATTCATCTTTTATTAAAATCAGCTCTATTAGTACTACTTCATCAAAGCTCTGTAATTAAAAAAAAAAAAGCCCAAGTCACCAGAAGGAAGTTCAGTAGACAGCTACGCCAGGGCCCAGGAAGACAGAAAGTGATTTGCTTTGTTATGGCGAGCGACATGGTCACTGGGACTTGTAACTGGACACTGCATCAGAGGACAAAGAGTGCTCAAGGGGGAGGAGAATCCAGAGAAAATCAACAGGCCAAAGCAGAGACTGAATGACTGCAGCGTGTTACTCAGAAAGGACCCATTCCTACTTGGAAATTTCTCACTCCTAAGGAGCAAATCACGGGGCAGATCTGGAGAAAGTTTCACATCAGTTCTTCAACTTCCTGAACTTGGGAGGAGACCACCTGCCCGTTGATCTCCTCCTGCACGATTGTCTTGATTCTTCGGGTTTTACTCGGGTCTGAAGATCAAAACAGAATGAAGGGAGCAGACATCAGCGTTTCCAGGATTATGCCGGCACTGGTTGCTGAGTAACTTCAGCTTCCAAGCTGGGTCTTGCCTGATACCATCCGTCAAACTTCAGCTTTCAAAAGTGACATCTACATTCTAAAAATGTGCTCTGTGCCGTGGCGATGAAACGCATTTAATACGGCCTTGAGCGCGAGTGAAAGCGGTTTTCGTTTTATAACATTCATCAGGTGACGCGGTTCCCAGAATACCTCTGCGTAAAGCAGATTTTTTCCCCCTCCCGGGCTTGCCAGAAGTTTTAACGAGCTCCTCTACCCTGCAAGAATACACAGATGTCTGTCCTCGACTCGTTATGAATAATAGTCTACTACTCAACGGGCCTTTAGCATTTTCGGCATTAATAGATGTGATTCCGACTATTTTAAGAGCCTGTCCTGTGCATACCTTTAGACGAATCCGTTGACGGGGTTCGGGATTTGGAGTCTGTTCCAGGTAAGGTCTCGATCAAGCCGTCACTGCAAAGAAAGCAAGGCACAGGGCATCGCATGCGGGTGGCTGGAAAGGGCAGCGACGAAGAGAATTTGCTGTTTGAGCTCAAAATTAGAAAAGCACATAAAACTATGGCCGCAGAGAGAACCCCACATTTCCTGATTGGAGGGTGTATTCTGAGAGGAACCGATCGGTTCAGCCGTTGTTTCCAGACCTCGCCTAAAATGCAAAAAGGATTACCCGGCAATTCGTGGACGATCTGGTCTCGGAAGTTAGATTCTCTAGCCGCAGGGGTCCCCTGCCTGCACCCCCAGCCTCGCCTGCGCTCACCCCGCGGCCTCCCCGTCCAGCAGGCGGCGGTAGGTGTCGATCTCCAGCTCCAGCCGGGCCTTGGCGTCCAGCAGCCGCTGGTGCTCCCCGCCCTGGCGCTCGGCGTCGGCGCGCACCTGCTGCAGCTGCGCCTCCAGGTGGCCCACGAGCTGCTGCACCTGGGACAGCTGGCCGCAGTAGTCGCGCTCCGTCTCCGCCAGCGACTCCTCCAGGGATTTCTTCTGCAGGCGGGAGGGGAAGGAAAACAGGAGGCGGTCGATGAGCCCACAGTCGTCGCGCCATCGTCCCTGGAGGTGGAAACAAGGTTGCGCCCGTGCGCTCCTGCCTACCACGGCGAGCTGGGACTGCAGCTCGATCTCCAGGCTCTGCAGCGCGCGCCGCAGGTCGGTGACCTCGCTCCGGCCCGACTGCAGCTGCTCGGTGTTGGTGCTGATCTCCTTCCGGAGCTCCCCGCTCTGCAGGGCGGAGGGCAGAGGGGAGAGCGCTGAGCGCGCGGGCCGGCTGCCGAGGTCGCCGAGCCCTCCGCGTTGCGGTCGCTACCTTTTCCAGGAACCAGGCCTCCGCGTCCTTGCGGTTCTGCTCTGCGACAGCTTCATACTGCGCCCTCATGGCGTTGAGGAGCCTGGTGAGGTCCACGCCCGGCGCCGCGTCCATTTCCACGCTGACCTCGCCAGGGCCGTCGGCGCGGAAGCTCTGGAGCTCCTGCGGGAGCAGGGAGGAAGGGTGCGGGTCCGTGGTGACCTTCAGGGCCCTGGGGACCTTTGCCTTCGGGGCCTCTTTCTCCACAAAAGTGTTATACATCTTATTTGTGTGTGTGTGTGTGTGTGTGTGTGTGTGTGTGTGTGTGTGTGTGTTTGAGACAGGTTATTAGTTCAGGCTAACCTTCAACTCACAGCGACCCTCCTGCCTCAGTCTCCCCAGTGCTGGGATGACAGGCCTATGCCACCACGCCCGGCTCACACCTTACTTTTCGACTGACTTGATACAAAGACAACTATATTAACACGATACATTAAGACTTTAAAACCTAAAAGTACACATTTTTCTGATTTTAAAAGAACGTAAGGCTCATTTTCATAGGCCCTAAAATTATCACAGGCATTGGATGCAGAACTTGGGCCAGTGGATTAGTTTTCCCTGCCTGGAGGGTCCACTGCAGGGTCTACTACCTTGACCAGAGGGGAGGCCTGCTGTGTGGGCTTTGGGTTTTTCCTACAGGTGCAAACCCGGAGCGGTGAGCAGCGCGTAGGATTGTGCACTATTTGCGTGTACACAGTCATTACAATCCACTGGGAACTTCTTTTCAAAATACTTGTTGCAGTTTTAGAGATAGACTCTCCAGAAGTTGATCCAGCTGGTTTCAAACTTGGGATTCTCCTGCCTCAGCCTCCAGAGCGCTGGGACTACAGCTTTGAGCCACCACGTCTGGTTGGGTAGAAACTTGTCTAGAAGCCAGTTGCCAGCGGGCAGTCTGTGCCTCAGCGCCACAGGGCAACTCGTCAGGGTCCATGCACGTGTGCTTCTCTGAGGTAGCATTACATAATATTGGTAGAATTTTGTTTAACTTTTGAAATACCAAAAGCCACTAAATTGAGATAAAAGCCACTCAATTGAGATAATGAAAATTCTTACTGTCAGTACCTAATAATTGAGAATGACAAAATCAGAAAGGTTACTAATTCATTAAACCTTAGTAGGAACCACCTATACCAGAGAGA